TTACGAGTTCCCTTTAGTTTGGAAAAAAATACTAAATGTTTCTTCTTTCAGTTCTGAAAAAAATAAATAAAAAATTGTTCCTTTGCGAAAATTCAATTAAATTTCGTGTAAAAGAAAATTCGCAGTTGTTAATATTTACAGTTCCACTCGCGTTTGTAATATCATTCAAGCATTTTTCGGCGCATTGAAATTTCATGGCAATTTGCGGAAGTTTCACTGTTGACTGGTTCCAGTTTTGTACACTCCAAAGGTGGTTCCTCAAATTTCAAATCAGGTAATAGAAACTGTATCGTTACTTGGTAGATTTAACACAGCAGACACTTTTTTGCTCTATTTCATCCGTTTTTTTATTTGTATGCCCCTACGGCTGACGACCTGTGTCCAGTACGATTCATTATAGTTTGATCATCTAATCCGGCTTTGTACAATGCTGTTGCGCACGTCCGCTTCCCAGAATGGTTTGTGTAATTTCCAGTTAAGCCCGCTTTTTGGCACATTTCTTTCATTAAACCTTCTAGTTTTACACATAGCGGATTCTTTCCATACCGTATAATATACGTATTTCCAAGCAAAGGTTTCCGATAAAAACATCCATCATTACCAAGCGTGTTAAGATATGTCTCAAAAAGGTTGTACATACACCTTGGCCTGAAAATAGATTATAAAACTAGAAATAATACAAATATTTTATGGTGACTTTTTGTGATAATAATCATATGTGTTGGTAAACTTTTATTCTGAGTATAATGCATATTATGCAATGTCATACAAGTGAGAGGTTAAGCTAACTATAAAACCAGGTTTAATCCACCATTTTCTACATAAGGAAATGCCTATAACAAGTCAGGAATATGACAGTAGTTTTCCATTTGTTTGATTTTGGCATTTGACTGTTCTTACCGCTTTGAATTTTCCTTTTCACTAACTTATGGGAGATGGGATATAACTCTTGTAAGGGATGCAGATTTTCCTCAGTCGAGATTATCTGAGAGCAAACACAAATCTATTTGTAATATTTTTGTTGTCTTTAGCTAGTACGGGCGGATTCAGAAATTAAAATGGAGGGGAGGGGGGGGCGTAACTCCAGTAAAAGGAATAAATACAACCCAGCGGGACAAGACAAACACATTTTTAAACGATTTTATTCTAAAATTCATATAAATCGTAAAAAACACAAGATTTTTTTTAGCGATCAAATAGGAGGACGTACACTATCTACGCTCCCTGGATTCGCCACTGTTTAATGTTTGGTAATAATCCTTGAAATTGTGTTTTAAGGTAGATAGGGTGTCTTCCTCCATCTTGGATTTTGAAATACCAGAAAGCAATCGGTCTAGATCTTTAATAAAAGGTGCAAATTTTGAGAGTAGTTGGTAATTCATGTGTAAGAATTTTCATTTCTATATAGAAAATGACATATTTCATCATATTTATGGTTTTATTTTACAAAAAAAACAGAATACTTTTGTTTGATTCTATTTTTTCCAACTTTGCCACATAAGGGGAGGCAACTCAAATTTAAGGGCAGATAATTCAGATAAAGTTACTTTTACAATAGAATAGGTTAGGAATTTACCTATTTTATTATGTAGTAAGAAAACGGGTCCCGTGACCCCATTTTTTCTTTTCTTATCTGAAAGCATACTATTAGAGCTATCTTCTCATATTTGATCTCAAAATTCTATGGTGTAGTTTTCGTTTTATGGCAGAAAATTGGGTTTTCCATGCATAATCTATACAAAATCTGTCAATTTTGCACAACCTATAGCGTGAAAATAAGCCCCGTGACCCATTCTTTTTATTATTTTTTTTAAAAATGCATGATATAAACTACATTTTGGCAAATTATTAAAAACTTCTATGGATTATAATTAAGACACCCCATCTACCTTAATAAATAATTTATTAGTCAAATTAATAAAGTAACGAATTAAAGCAGTTTGTAGGAAAACCTAAAATGTATAAATTTAAGCATTTTATCAATGAAATGAACAACCTGTAAAATATAAACTTTATTTGTACGATATCTTGAAAACTAACAATAAAACAAAACTTATCGTCATTAGAATAATGTTTTATATCCTTGTTGCTAATTTTCATATGCGCCAGACCACCGTTTAATGTCTTGTTGTTTCGACCGATAAATCTTATGTATTTTCTCTTTCCGTCTTCTCCAGGTTTAAAGTGAGAACATTGTAAATTAAGATGTTCGTCCCTACCCCTCAAGCAAAACATTTTGCAGACATAATAAAATACAGTATACTGAAGAGTCTTTGAATTTGATTGTCCAAGGACACCAGATGACCACATCTTCCTCCGATATTGCGTCGGCCTTCTCTGAAGCCAATAATCCATAGTTTCAACATCCATTGACAACAATTCTGGAATTTCAACACCGTTTTGTCTTCTCGCTGCCCGCCATTCGTTAAACACCTTTATAGCCCACTTCGTGTTCTTTTGTGTATTCGGGTTGGTTTGTGAAGTAATTAGTTTATCGATCTCGTCAGCAGAAACAAATGTAGAAAAGCGATTAGCCCCTTTTTCAACTCCGCTGGTATTTGGTTCCCGCGCCATATAATTAAATTCAAAGGTTCCAAAGTCAAAATTCTCATCGCCTTCAACATCGTAAATGTTCATTGCTTGCGAAAGTGTTAAATTAACATCCATAATATTAGCTGCTTGTGAAATAGCCAGATTGTCAAAATAATCATCCTCAATCTCTTGGGAATCGACTGCCAACTTAATATCAACTTCGATTTCGGTCGCGACTTGAGATAATTGAATATCTTCCTCTGTTTCGGCCACAAGTTGTGATAACTGAACATCGTCTTCATTTCAACTAACATTTGAATGAGTTCGTTTTCCTCCAATTCTAATAAATCTGGAAAATCCAACATTTTTCTTTACTTTGAGTTTCTGGTGGCTTAATGAAATGAACTACGCAGACGATCATTCACGGGGCGCAATACTGACTTGCGCGAGCTTTCATCTCATTGGATAAAATGGCAACGTGCTTAATTTCCAATATTAGTTCAAGCTGTCAATCACTTTATTCATATTACAATTACAAATTATATATACCACGTGTCTTACTCATTAACATATTTAAACAAACTCATCATTCGGATTCGTTTGTTTAAATATGTTAACTCGTAAGAACCATGGTATAGTACTAAGAAAGATTTTTTGTGAATCGAATCAGTCAACGAAAAAGTTCTTCCTGGTAGCTCCCTTGTTTCACTCTTTAATTTTGACATTCTTTTCTCTTTTTTAAACTGATCATTGTGAGCATATGCGCTTGACTCATAAGACACTAAGGGTAAAATAAATACATGCATACAGACCCAAATGATGTCGAATTATGGTCCTGCAAGGCAATGATATAACAGACATGTTTTTCGGCTGATTTTTACAAAATTTAACCTACTTTAACAGTGCTTAACCAAAACTTTCCGTATAAAGTGTAAAGGTTGGCATGGAAATGTAGGGTAGTTTAATAGGCAGGAAATATAACTAGTTTGTTATGACTTGAGAAGAAATATCACTTCCATTTGTGATGTTTTACTGTTAGTTTTAATATAAATCATGTTATATATCATAATGTGTTATACAAGAGGTGAGATTTTACTAAAATATTGAATCAGATTCTGTAAACACGTGCTTTGCTTCTTGCTTTCTATATTTGATATTAAATACTAATTTCCAAGAAAAGAAAAGATCCGTACACAATTGTACATAATCATATTTCCTGTTTTAGATGCTGAAACAGACAAATTGGTCAGGCAAGCTTTTCAGAAAAATTTAAAGCCAGACGGTCAGTATAAAACTTTTGCACCGCAAAGACGTTGATTCAGTGCATATAACTACACAAAACAAATATTCTGAATTTCCTCATACAATACGGGGTATGTTCTTTTCGTAAAATTTATGATGGCATGATACTAAACCCGTAACGTGTAGGTTTGTGCTTGATTTTCATAGTTATACTGATCTAGTATACATTATTGTTAAGTGGCCAGCTAAATCCCGCCTCTCGCTGCGTTGCAGACCCATTGGTGGCCTTCGGCTGTTTTCTGCTATTATGTCGGGTTGTTGTCTCATTGACACATTCCCCGTTTCATTCTAAATTCTAAGTTATAGATAAAGAAGTAAATGATTTTTTTTAAATGACTAGCATTCCAGATTTTTTTCTGTACAGTAACTTAGTAACGATTTCTGCCTACAGTTTAAAGTTTCCGTTTTACAACCATTTAAAATGTTTGTAAATGCATTGAAGATGTGCGTCTCATTGTGTTCAAATTATGATAATGTTTGCAGCTGTAGTAAACTCTCAGCAACATTTTTGAATGAGGTTGTCATTTTGTGTATCGACTCCTTCAATTTACAACCTAGATCATTCAAACTCTTTTGATTGTTTGTATACAAATCACTTTGTAAACACAATTAGATAATGCTTGTAGAATTTCCTTAATACAGAAATTATAAATTTTTCTGTAGGATTTTAGAATGATTGACCGTTTTGTGTATTTATTTGTTTATCTGTAATTTATTTTTAACATAGCTATTTATTCATTTATTTGGTCGACATTATCGCATAGGAGACTGTAGTTTGTTATAAAATTTTAAGTCGGTAAATATTGTTTTTCATTAGTGGTAATTAAATAGCAAGTGTTTGTGCTCATTAAAGCATATAAACTACGGGTTGCAAGTTCAAAGGTTACTCACGATAGGCCTGTTCACAAAGATCAGAGCAGTAAATATCAATACTACAGTCAATCTATATTGTGACATACGTTACCTGATTTATTCTGAACATATAAATTATTTGGTCTTTTCGACTTTTTAATTGCATTTTTTGTTCAATCTAAATATTCCTTGGGTTATTAAGAGAAAAAAAAACAATATACATTGAAATAAAAACATTTAAAGCATATACATTCATTGGTGCAATTATTTTTCATTAAATATGTTCTATAAAAAATATTCATGTTCTTTTTGAAGATTTCTATGCAGTTTTAGGAAAGGATGTTAAACCAAGCGGTAAGTACGATTTATCACCAGAGCTGTTATTTGAATTTATATATGATATGTACAACTTATTGCAGATAACATATTTTTATGGAAAACTTTTCGTTTTTAAAATTATGTTTGTAAAGGAATTGCTATGACTTTGAACGTGGGGGTAAAATAAAACATATCAACTATCTCTCTCTCTCTCTCTCACACACACACACACACACCATTATTTGTTTTTCTATTTTTCATTTTAGAAAGAACAGAAAATCAAAAGATCGGTATGTATGAATAGTAATGTAACGGTTGAAAAAGTAGTTGTTTTGATGATTTGTTTTCCCAAAAAAACTTTCACAACTTCATTTTTTATGCAAGACGGGGAAAATATTTGGTATTGATGCCTATATTGGGGTCTATTATATGGGAAAGTTTTCAGAAAAAAATCACCAATAAAAAAAGAAAGGTTGAAATAAGACATGTTTATATCCAAGTCAGGAATAAGGCAGTTGTTTTTTCACTTGTTCTGTAGATTGATAGCGTTTGATTTTGTCAGTTTTTATGGACTTCCCCTTTTTGAATTTGCCTTGGAGTTCAGTATTTTTGTTATACCTTTGTTTTTATAGTATAACTTGATAAAAACTCATTGAAATTGTTCTAATATAAAGGGACAGGTCAAAATTTATAAAGACGTGGAACCTTGTGAACAATTTTTTTTAATTGAAATATTTCTTAAATCCCATTGTCAAAAGGCAACATATAAAAGTGATGTCCCATAAAATTTTCTTTGTAAACATCTTACAGAAACGCGCTTCGGACACACGAAATTTGTACCGTATTATTTCATTTACACCCCATTTTATATAAAATTGTTCATATTTGTTAATAACTAACGTTTCAGTATAGGATTCCGCATCATTATAAGTGTTCTTACGTGACCTTCTTGTACTTGAATATTCATGTTCTATGTCCTTTGTCAAGTAATATAAATCCATACTGCTTTTTCATAATATTTTTATAATGTTTACTTGCTAGTTTTTTGGGGTTTTATTTATATATATTTGTTGTATTCTTTCATTATCTATATTTGTTGTATAGATTATTCCTTTATTTATTTGTATTTGTTATATTTATCAAGAAAGATTTTTGATAAACATTGTCGAAATGGCTTTGAGTGGGATCCCGTCTGTGGAATGGTGTTGAAGCTGGGGAAAACTAGCTTTTGTATGTGTAGTCGGCTGTTATTGTACTACAAGATACGAACTTGTAACATCAGGTTAGATGTTTCGGTACCAATGTATGAGATATTGGGTTTTAGATAATGGATTGTAATCTAGATCCCACTTCATTCACATCCAAGTCGGCAGTCCAATTCAATAAACATAAATGAATTGGTAAAGTCCAAATGCTTTTAATAGAGTCCAAATATATAAAATAACAGTGATACAAATCAGTAATTTTAAACCAAAAGAAAATACATCTTCTTGCGTTTGAAAATCCGAACGCAGTTCATGTGCTCTCGTTTGCATATCCTAATAACAATTTTACCTTCTTCAAATATCAAATAGCGTTGCTAACAAAGTTTGTAATGGTCATTTTGTCAACAAAAATAAGATAACGGATTGATTCGGTTTTCAAAGTGAACTATTTACACACGTTTGTATTGAACATAAAGATAATTGACCAAATAGAAATATTGAATAACCGTAAGATTTAAGTTCAATCTTGACCATAAGTATTAGCAAATATATATTTATAATCTAACATGTTTCAGGTGTAAGCAAATATTTCGGACATTTTCAATTCATTGTGAATTTCGAGATCATTACTATTGAAAAAATTATTTATGCTTGGTGCACACGAAATGTACATGTTAATAAACTGTAATAGAAATCAACATATTTAGATAGTTTTGAATATAAAATTTAGCACAAAAATAATGTGTCACATATTATTTAACACTGTATGAAGTCTTGCAAAACACAACGAGGAGTTTTTCAAAAGTTATTGTAAAGAGCAACCTCACAAACACTGTTAGCCCTATATAAAGGTAAGACAGTGTGGTATCATTGCCAGTCCACCAGAAACCAAATGACGACGAAAATTTTAAAAACTATAGATCACCGTATATATACGGCCTCCAACAATGAGCAAAACCAATACCGCATAGAAAGATATAAAAGGCCCTGACATGACAAATGTTAAACAATTCAAAAGAGAAAACTAACGGCTTGGTGTGTGAACAGAACAATAAACGAAAGAAAAAAATAATATACAGCAACACACGACAAGCACTAAATTACAGGCTCCTGACCACTACCTAAACCAGATGACTATGATACAATAGTTGTCATTGTACTCTTTTTCACGGTAGGTTTAGTGTCCGGCTAGGATCGTGGTTTTTCGAGTGATTTGATCGGGTTTTTTTTACTGTGACCACTTTTTTTTCGAGTAATTATGATCAAAAATGTAAACAAACAGACTTCCTTTCTAACAAGACGTGATATAGAAGCTTAAGTTTAATATACAAGGATATACAAGGTGTGTTAGTATTTGAGATAAAAAGATATTATCAATCCGACATTATTTTTCGTTAAAAAAGTTGAATTTAGCCTTACAATGCTTTTATTCCAAAAAACAGAATAAAGCCATTTTATACACATACCAATGCAAATGTCGATGGAAATGCATACATGGAATCCATATATCCTTAGATATACAGACACTTTACATAAATTCTTGGTGTTGCATTGAAAACGACATTTTGAGACTAAATTCATTTCTATGTGTTCGGGTTTTTTCGAGAGCAGTCTGGGCTTTTTCGAGTGCGTCTGTGTTTTATCGAGTGATTATACAAATTTCCTATAGCTTAGAATGTTATGTGTCAGTGTATTTGCGTTTATAAACAATAAAAAAAAAGGTTCAAATTGTGCACTTTTTAAGGCACGAAACCAATGAATTCATCAGTTTGATAAAAGTGTACTAACACTTACACTTTATAAACAAGTATCGTTCATTGTATATATTGTTTTTTTTTCACATCTTATAAATTACATGTACAGTATATATTCATGATGTCAACAATCTAATGTAAGCATAGACAATTTGGATTGAGACGTACGTACAAATAGTGAATTAAGCTGATGAATTATTCATTTCATTGTTAACTATATATGAAATTTTATTCAGATTTTACTTACAATGGGAATAAAAACTGGTCGGATTAAATCTGTGAATGTGTGTGAATGAGGGGGCATACCTCTTTTAGTAGAATATTTTTTATTACATAGCATTTTTCTGATTCTTCTCTGCTGTCCAGTAGGTTTCTTACTCCGTTTTATAATAACAGCTGCGCCATGGGCGCATGATACGCCCGTCGCGTTTTCTAAGAATAAAGTTCATTCTCTTATGGTTGTGCCTTATTATATATTTCTTGCATGAATAGACATTTCTAATATCACACTGCACGGAGTGTGGTACTAAAATGTGATACGAAAATCTGCGTTAATTTTATTTGCTTATCCAGCATCATAAGACGAAATTACGGCATTTCCATTGGCTATTCGTTAGGTCATTGGCGACCATCAAAGGTTACGACTATGTACATTTCGTGTGCAAAACACTAGACCAACGATTCGCGGAAATTTTAATTTAACACAGTGACATATCCAACTATAGCAGTCATCACGTGACTTTGGTGACGTCACACATCACCCGTATAATGCCCCAGTAAAATGTATAGAAATGCACAGGGGCTTTCAGGAATCGATAAAATAAATTACTTTAAGTTCATGATACAAAAAGTGTGGAAATATATATTAATTCCTCATATATTTAGAAATATATTTATGCCTTTTGGAAAAGTTTAAATTTTGGTCTTCTCCCTTCCAAATGCTTTTGAAAACTTGTCTTGTTGCCTCGATAAGTTCACACTGTTTAATCATCCAACTCCGATAAATATTGGATATTCTGTCGTGTTAAACCTAATATTGCGATTTAAACAAAACAGATGGAAAAATTGTGGAAATATGTGCTTATTACTATATTCATGAATATTTGAAATATCGTATATGCAATAGTTTAATTTTTTATTATGTCCCTTCCAAATTGATTTGAAAATTAGCTATTTTCAGAATATCTCGTATTATTTTTCAAGATGGCGACCACATTGACAGCGTGGGCCGACTTGGTAAAAATATATTTTGTAAGATTGTTACGATGAAAATCAAATAACTGTTGGATGCTCCCGTTTTCAGTCCTTGTCTTACCTTAAAGTAGTATAGAATCAAACATTGGTTCCTTTTGATAAAGCTGATAAATGCTGTTGTTTTTTTTATTAAATTTTGAAAAAATGGCGACCAAATAATTGTCAAACGTAGACGATGTTTGACACTTATTTTGTCCATGCAAATAATTCAATTTAATTTCAATGTTTATATTGCAATTAAATATGACATGTTATTGTCACTATAATAATACCCAAGGACATAGCTAGATTAAGGAGATATTAAGTCATAACATCAACGTGATCAAAGAAAACAGACATGGCACCTAATCACGATGTAAGTTTTGACAATACCTATGTAGATGTAAGTTTTGACAATACCTATGTAGAGTAGCGTTGTCTGATTCTCAATGAAATTCATTACGATAATATTTTATATTTATAAAAGAAGACCTCGAATGGATGTTAACCGAGGTGAAATAATAATAAATTTTCTTTAAATCATTCATCACACGGGTAACCAGTAAATTTTACATAATCCTAATTAAACCAGTAACATGCAGAGTTATCGAACGTAATTATGACTGGAATAGTTGCATATGTGGTGCTGACCATAAGACAAATAGGTTTAACAACTTGTGAGAATGGGATATCGCTTGATATCAACTCTCGTTATTTAATTCATGTAAGTAAGTAAGTAAGTAATTTTCTCTCGTTATTTTATTCAAATAGTAATATTGAATTCACCGGAGGCTCGTTTATTATTATATTGAAATTAAATAATTCGAGTTGATATCAAGCGATATCCATTCTCACTCGTTATGAAACCTATAAATAATTTCTCAATGTCATATCAAAAATGTATGTACAAAAACTAAAAGGGAGGTTACCTTAATCTATATAAAGCAGTCACCAAAGTTTCATGAAAATTCCTCAAAGCACATTAAAAATATTGTCCGAAAACTGTAAAATCATCCCTTTTTGGCTCACCTGGCCCCAAAGGGTCAAGTGAGCTTTTCTCATCACTTGGCATCCGTCGTCTTCGTCCGTTAACTTTTT